GCAGGAATCATTTTGATTCCTGATAAATTAAAATCTGGATGTGAGGGATTCCAGGAAGAACAGTCAGTTTTTCCTTTACTTGGTAAAGGCTGAAAAAAGCCAAGTGTTTAAGGAAAAAGTTAAGATTATTGTATGGCTAAGTAGGGCAAACTGTACTAGACAGCATACTTACAGAACATAACTGCCACCAGTTTTCAGTCTTAATTATGACAGCAATGTACAGATAAGAACTCACAGTTCTGTTCCAGTGAAGTCTGGAGTTCTGTACTTTTAATACAGCTATTTTTCATGAAGGAGAAGAGAGAGAACACGTGACTATAGATCTCCTTTATTTACAAATGCATAGAAATCTTGTAGCATCTACAGAAATTAACAGAACATAATATAAAAATACTAAGTATTTCTAGTGTTCTATCCAAAACGTGACAGAGAAGCAGGAAACCTCCAAAAATAACAATACCTGGCTAGTTAATTGTAAGCAAACTGAAACCACACAAAATAGGTAATTCTGTAGTTGGTTGTTGTGTAGGAGTAAATGGAGACAGAAAATCCTGTGCAGTAGCTGAGCTCCTGCAAAACCCAGTGTCTTTAGTGCAAACTGAGGGAACTTTGTGCTTCACTGGAGATGCCCTGCATCTCATGAGAGGTCTGATCTATCTAACAGCTGATCTGCAAACAGAATCTGCTGCCCTAGTCTTCCACTTCAGCTGCTAAACTGAGTGTCTCACCCACAGCAGTAAGTCACTGAACATTCAGTGTGCACTGATGTAGTCAACAGCAAGCTCCAGTGAAATGAAAGGAAAAACTACCCATCATCTCTGAAGTTGGCTGAACCACGAAATTCTCACCAGTTTCCAAATCCACAGTCCATCACAGCTTCTAGGAGAGCCATTTCCTCTTGAGCTGTCCAGTTAGGGTCCAAGACAGGGAAATCAGAAGTCTGGAGAAGAGAAAAGCAAATCATACGCTGTGATCTTCCCTTATAATCCACCACATGATAAGCAAAGATATTCTAAGCTACAGGGCAACTGGTACTTTTAAACTTTCACTCTGTTCCATGAAACCTGATACAATAGTTGTTAAATTATTTAGGCTGTTTGGTCATCAACTACAGTAAAAAATAGTTGGTTGCTACAGATCTTTTGAATATACTGTTACATGTTGTATCTACCAGCTGTAATTTGACACTGTGATGCTATGAAACACAAAAAAATTGTGGAAGACTTTTCAAATTCTTAATTTTGGGGAAGACAGAACAATAATAGAGAAACAGAAGTTGATTCATATGGTTAAAGAACTGGATGTCTAGTGAGATGCACTGTGCTATCTAGGCACAATAAAAATTGCAGGTAGTTTAAAATGTCTCCACTATTCCATTATGTTTTGGGTGGATATTCTTCTTTGCTCTCAAGGAACACCTGTTTTTGGAATAGTTTTGAACCTCTAAATCAAAGAATTAACTTTTCAATGCAGTATTAGTAAGAAAGGTGTCCTGGTTTGAGACAAAAGGGTCTAACTCCTGGGAAGTTCTGCAAGCTTGACTGAGTAGGTGTTATCTAAAAGGAGTATTTACCATTATCTCATAAGTATGATCACTTTGATGTTTCTTGTATTCAAATCCTCGTGTGAAACACTGTAGAACAAAAGATGAGCATTATGTTAGTCTCTTCTGCCCTGAAAACATCTTAACTGGTCCCTTTCTTCCTTTTATTCTCTGACCCCTGGGTATCCAAAACTGACTGCCTGATATGCAGAAAAAGGTACTTTTTTTTTCTGATTTCATCTTTCATAATGCAAATGTATTTATTTAATAATTAATACTAACAGTATTTCCGTGGTTATCATATCACACACATCATTTTTAAAGAAGTGTATCTGGTCACAAACAATTATTGCCAATGTTGCAAACTTTCCTCAAATTTTCTTTTGCAAAAACAATAATGT